TATAAACGAACTGAATTTGAAACCCTCACATCCCTGTACCCTTCTCATCCAGAACCCCATCCAGAACTTTGCTCATTTGTCTCTATTGTATGTTCCTCTATGAACTTTATATCTCCCCTCAGCTCAATCACACATCAGTCTCTGCTTGGCTCACAACCTTGTCCATGGCCTGTACTAATTCTTTGTCCATCACTACACTATGCCCACATGCCCTTCTTCTGCTCTGTGTCACAAGGACCTTTATTCAAGGGCTTGCTCTCTTAACTCCATCGACGCCGACTTTCTCCATAAATGTTTATTCACTAAATTCCAAACTGTAGTGAAATGAAACCCTAAAGACAATTTTAGCTTAAAATAGACAAGCTGTGTCTATAACAGTGTTGGAGAATTAGTCCAAATAATCTATTTTAGACTAACGTTTGCCATTTGTGTTTCAATTCACTACAAGTTTAGTGAACTGTTGCCCCACTTCATGCCGCTGACAATCATGCATTTTGCCTATGTCCCAGTCCCTGGGTAATTCCATCACAACTGGACTGTGCACAGATCTGACAGCATATTATAACACACACCATCTTTCTATTCTATAAAATGAATCCAAAAAAGAAACTCAGTCACATATTGCTCAGTACATCCTTACCATTATTGCAGGGCCTAAGCCAAGAAGTCCCTCTAGAGGCTGTCTGAGTCACTACCACTAGAGACGTCGTACTGACCATTGCACTGACCAAGTAAAACTTGGTCAAATGATGTGACAGTTCATAGGAAAATATGAACTGTCCCCTTTTGCCTCCAGCCCTCCTGCCACCATGGTGCTGCCCCCAGTGGCCAAAATGCAGTATTTCGCATCTTAAGCCAAAACAGTGATTGGACATGAGTAAAGCAGCTCCATGACACCAAAAGACATTTAACTTTTTTATTCCTACCTTGTCTACTCTGGTTATCTCCTCGTTTGCAGTTTGGGTGAGTTTTCCACAAAGAAAGTTATATATATGTACCTTCCTGCTGTTGACCCCTGCAATACTGATTTCTGGCTCTGCCATAGTCTAGGCAGGACTGGCCGTGACATCACAGAAGCTGATGTCATCAAGGTTCAGCAGCTGGTATTGAAGGACCGCATTTTATTCCTTTCTCCATAGCAAGACATGGCTTGTTCATACAGTGAGAAAAAAAAGTTAACCTATTCATGACTGGAGTCAATGGCAAAGGAATGGAATGAGGCTGCGGGTGGGGAGAAGGAAAGCAACAACCCTTTAAGAATGGGACTTGGTGTGATTTTCAACTTGTACAGGGTCAACTTGGGCTGCACAAAAGGGAAGTACTATTTCAGCTCAAAAGCTGAAATAATTTGGTTTAGAAGACAAATTGTGTTCTTGTATAGAACCTTGGACAGCACATTGAAATCTCTGTGTGTCAGGTAGCAAGCAGTTAATGCTCTGCCTGGTACACAGATATGAGCCCTCTTTGACACCAGTCTCCAGTGATGGCCAGCTGTATCAGCAAGTGACGTCCAACTTGCTGGATTAAGGGCCCAATGGACCTGGAGCTGAACGTTTTGAATGTGTGTGTGTATGTAAGTTAGCAAGTGAAAGGATCAGAATCTGATGTGTTGGTGGGCTTTGAGTACCAGATCAACCTAAAGTTTTTCCTGGTTGCTTTAAGGGGGAGCACAAATTATGTACCTGCTCCCGGGACCACATGACCTAAATATTCCTCTGTGAAATGTGTATATTGTGTCCAATCACAGATTTCCCAAAGCAGCTCAATGAGACGTCTTTGCAAGGCAGGTGCTCTGGACAATTGCTGCCTTTTGAGGTCAGCTCCACTGAGATAACTAAACCAGGAAGTAACAGCCAGGGGGTGTAACAATGTTAATTTACAAAAGTGCCAATTTTTACTGAAATCTGCAATTTTTGTAAAATGAAGAAATAAAGCACATTCTTCATACATAAAGCCAGAGGCGGCTCTAGACTTTATGAGGCCTTAGGCAAAATTCAAGCATTAGGCCCCACTAACACCCAAAGTATAAAATAATAATGTGTGTAAGGAGCATTCGCTATATTAAAAGGCGGGCTTGCAGCGCTGGATACAGAGAGTCAGTCTCTGCATAAATACATTTAGTTTGCAATAAATACATTTAATTTGCAATTATGTCAATCCTTTATACACAATTGTGGGGTATGGTTGCATAGCCCAGCCAGTGGTGTATCCTGGTTTTGTGCTGCCCTAGCTGGCTGCTGGGCGGGCGGCTGGCGAGGGAGCACTTCCTCTGAGCGGTCTGCTCAGCTCCCTCGCGCGCCGCAGAGTGAGGCTGGGAGCCGGAATATGATGTCATGAGGAAGAGCTCCCTCGCCAGCCGCCCGCACAGCAGCCAGCGCCGCCCGCACAGCAGCCAGCGCCGCCCGTCCGCTCGGCATGTCTGTTAGCCGCAAGACTAACTAGGCATTTGCTCTGGGCATTTGGGGGACAGCGTTTTTTGCCGCCCCCTGAAAAATGCCGCCCAAGGAAAATTGGTTGCCGCCCAAGGCAAAAAGGTTTGACATATTAGCTGGGGGTCTCCAGATGCCACTCCCGGACTCCACCGCCTTAGCCTTAGAGAGCTGGAAACTCTTGCTTAGAAGCTTATGTTAGCTCTCCTAGCTCATTGGCTGAGAGCATCAGCTAATCACTCTGAGCCAATGAGCTAAGTCATGCGGTGCACAGCTCTCTTGCTGTGGTAGTGTAGGACAGAGCAAACCCCTGGTAAGATGTCAAACTATATAACATGACTACTTACAATGGGGGGTGCCAGGATTCTCATAGAACCATAATGACTACAGCATACTTGAGGCACATTCAGGGACTGGGGGGGCAATTAACACATGGAAGGGACTGGGGGTTATTGAAACACATGGAGGGATTGAGGAAGACACGTGGAGGTGCTGGGGGGGATGAGACACATGGAGGAGCTGGGGGAAAGAATGAGACACACAGAGGGGCTATTGGGTGAGACACATAAAGGGGGTGGGGAAGAATAAGACATATGGAGAATCGGGGGAGACATGTGGAGGAGCTGGGGGGAGAATGAGACACATGGCGGGGGGAATGAGACACATGTAGGGACTAGGGAAGAATGGGACACATGGAGGGTAGGGGGGTGAGACATATGGAGGGGGTAGGGGGTGAGACACATAGGGGATCGGGGTGAAACATATGGAGGGGGGTAATGAGACACATGGAGGGACTGGTGAGGATGAGACACATGGAGGGGGGTAATGAGACACATGGAGGGACTGGAGAGGATGAGGCACATGAAGAGACACTCTGCATTCACTACACTAACACACACACTGCATTCACTACACTAACACACACTCTGCATTCATTACACTGACACACAAACTGCATTCATTACAGTAACACACACTCTGCATTCATTACACTAACACACACTGTGCGTTAATTACAGTAACACACTCTGCATTCACTACACTGACACACACTCTGCATTCATTACACTAACACACATTCTGCATTCATTACACTGACACACACTCTGCATTCATTACACTAACACACACTCTGCATTCACTACACTGACAAACACTCTGCATTGACTACACTAACACACACTCTGCATTAACTACACTGACACACACTCTGCATTCACTACAATAACATACACTCTGCATTAACTATACACACAGCATCCACTTCACAAACATCCTGTATTCACAGTGCACACACTACATCCACATTCAAACACTCTGCATTCACTATACTGAGACACTGTAATACACACTAATACACACACTACATCCACTACAGACACTGCATCCACTAAACCCATTGCATCTAGTACACACAAACACTACATCCACTACACAAACACACACTACATCACTGTACACACACTACATCCACTACACAAACACACAATAAAACTATGCCATTGGGGTTTCCTGGTTCTGTCATCCCTGCAGCTATTCCATTCTAAAAGTGCCATCTTTTGTGAATTAAAGTCTTCAAAGCCTTCAAGCCTGAGCATTGTGAGAGTTATTCCCTCTCAAGTCGAGCCTTTCTCACCCAGAGCCATGGTTGATAGGGCTCTGGTAAATATTTTCTTTGATCAATGTATGTTAAAGGACCACTATAGTGCCAGGAAAACATACTCGTTTTCCTGGCAATATAATGCCCTAAAGGGGGAAACCACCCTGAAAGGGTTAATGTTGTAATGGACTCTAATCCCCTCGGTTCTCGATCCCTCGGTCACCATAATCAACGTTGATGGAGAATCATTTGTAAGCAATAACACACGGACAACAGCTTTACAAGACTCTCAAATGAGTGTATTCCAGAGTTGGCTTTTATACATAGTTTGCTTACATTAGCCATGGTATATGCAAATACAGTACAGACTATAAGATTTATTACTTCCTTATATTACGTTATTCTGACAATGGAAAGATAAGCTTTTGCATACGTCTGGAAAAGAATATCCTTAAAGTCGGAATGGGCAAGACATCCTGAAATTTAGCATTGTCTTACATCCTATAGAAGAAATACCTTAGTCTGTCACAGTCAGCATATTGACTTTAAGTATTCAATATCCCTTCAGTCAGCAATAATCATGTTATAAACCTTATAAAAGCATAAAATACATATAAACAAGTTAACTAATATTCTTACATTCCCCTCTTTGAGCAATAAAACAATTGCTCATCTTATCGATAAAATCTTACCAGGACAGAGAAACTTCCACATGGTATTTTCAGGGGTGCTAGTCACTCCCTGCGGGACTTTCATTAATTTCTTCACCTCGATTCCCATGTGGTAATTCCTAAGGCCCAGTTTAAAGATGGGTTGATACCCTCCAGTGGCAGAGAGGAGAATTTCTAATTGTTTCTGTTCTGCATTATGGATTAATTTATGTACTCTCTTCCTCAATGTACAAGTAAGGTGACAGTTATATAAAACCATACACAATAAAATCAGGACTATAATAACAAAATGATAGATACCAGTTATATAATCATTATTAAAAGTAATAAGGCCTGTCTGTTTACATTGATATGCAACCTTAACTGTGCACATTTCTGCGTTATAAGATCTAACAATTTTCTGTGAACCTTCAAACAAACATAATGCATCGGTTTCATTAGCTGTGGACACATTTCATATGGGTAACTGGTACTTATAAGGGTTACTATTTGTCCAATTCATCCAAATGCGTTCAGTGAATGAATGATTGCATATTGCATGCTGATAGAAAGGTGGTGGGAAAAGGTTCTTGAGGGGGCGTGTGTGACGAATGCTAGATGAGGGGCTAAGGCCTAATTGGGCTGGGGGTATTGAAGAATTGTTCATCATGTCAGAGTCTTTTTCCAGAACTTGCCATTGACTTGTACTCATAATGGCATTCAAGGAACAATATCAGAGGGAGTATAACAACTCCAGAAAGCATAGCACACAACATAATCTTGGTCTCAGGTACGTATGATCCTCTCAATCTACGATATGGTGTAAAAGCCATGATGCTTCGCTGAGGAGAAATTCTTCTGTTTCCGAGTGAGGAGTGGTGTTGTCTTCCTTGGTTCCCCTCTTTGGACACAGCTTCACTCCGGATGCGTGAATCCAGATGTCATGGGAATCTGTGAGGACAGCGGTTCTGGTTACAGCAATCACAGTAGCAGGTGGTCCAAAAGGGTATCCTCCTTTCTTGGTCCTGTTCAGCTGACGGATATACACCTTGTCACCGGGCTGGTATGAATGAGTAGGATCCTGTGAAGGTAAGGGAAAACTGCGAAGAAACATTGTCATACATACCATTCGGTTTTATCAACAATTCACCTTGTGGGGATTCATTCTTATCTCAGCTAAAATAGCTGGTAGATATCTTGTCCAATTTACCCATGTTCCTGGGTAAATTCTGGGCTTTTCCTTAATAGTCCTATTCATCCTTTCAACTACCCCTGTATTCTGTGGATGATAGGGTATATGAAACTGCCAGGTAACTTGCAAGAATTTAGCAAGTTCCTGGGCAACCCTACTTGCAAAAACCGGGCCATTATCAGAGCCAATCTGCAGAGGGCAGCAATACCGGGGAATAATTTCAGTAACAATAATCTTCACTAGCATCCTCCCTAGATGTCACAAAGGCATCATGCCATCCACTAAACTGATTAACTATGACCAGTAAGTATTGCTGTTTCTTACTAATTTTGGATACATGAATAAAATCAATCTGTAAGTGTGTAAAAAGAGCAGCGTTCACACGATCTTACAAAAGACTGTACATGCTGCCTGAGATTCCTAATATAAAATGAATTCATGAAGAATTGAATGGTGCTTGCTATGTGCCTGACTGATGAAAATAAATCAGCTTGCTTCAAGTATGCCTATTCTTCAAGTATGCCTATTCTCCCCTCTTTAGAGAACAGATCATTTTGATCTTTCTCTAAACCTTGTTTAATCCAAAAGACAGATTCTGGGTATTAAAAAAAAGAATCTCATAACCACTGAAGCGCTGGGCTCTCATGTGTTGTGTGGTGAGATTTGTTATCAGCTGAGTGACCTGGTGACTGGCATGAAGTATTGTAGGATGCCCTAGTGTGATAGTAGTAGCAGTTTCAACAGCCATTGCACATGCTATCAATGCTCTGAGACACGCTGGCATACCCTGTACCGGAGCACGAACTACTTTGGAAAAGAATGCTATGGGACGCATACCGCCTCCTTGCTCTTGTGCACAGACTGCGGCCATGGTTTTACAATTGTCCCAAGCATACAAATGAAATGGTTTACAATACACAGGTAGTCCTAAAGCCTGGGCTTGCACAATAACAACTGTAATATGCAGCTAGCATGTCTGGTGACCAGCAGACATTTTCAGGGCTGTCAGAACGTACAGCCTCCCTTAGGATTGAGTCATAATGGGAGCATTCAGGGATCTATTGGTGGCAGTAATTAATCATGCCGAGGAAGGTGAGCAACTCCTTCCGAGTAGTGGGTGTAGGAATCCTCTGAATGACCTTAATACGTTTTGGACTCAATTGTCTGGTGCCTAAAGCCAGAACAAAACCTAAGTATTCAACCTTTGATTTACACAATTGCATTTTGTGTTTAACAACCTTGTGACCTACAGTTGCTGACAGTATCCACAGTGCTTGCCTCATAGCTAGGGCTACATAACAACAAATCATCAACATTTTGCAAAAAGGACGGAACCATGACCGGTGGTCCATGTTTTTTTAGAGTATGTTGGAGTACCAACGAATAAACAGCTGGGGAATCCACATAGCCTTGGGTAAGCGTGTCCAGGTAAACTGGCAGCCTTCAAAAAATAAAAACCATAAGTAGCTGTGTCTCTTGATCAATAGGTATAGAAAAAATGCATTACTTAAATCAATGACAGTGAAGCAAGTGGCATCATGTGGAATGGCTGTAATGAGGGATGTCACATCAGGGACAATGGGTGAAATGGGCACAATTAAACTATTCAGGGCTCTAAAGTCCTGAACTAAGCGATATGCTGGCCAGTGGTGTTGGGAGTGGGTCTGGTGTTGTTCTTGCCTACAGGGCATATTTTGAGAAAGGTGGGGTTGTTGGGGTGTGTGGGGTTTCCTGGGGTGTGGACACTCATTCCTCCAGTGGCCATATTGGCCACAGTTGAAACAAGTGTTCCTGTCTATTCCTCCTTGGTTACCCCTATAACCCTGATTTCCCTGTCTCCATCCCCTTGCCCCTCTTTGACCACCCCTTCCACGGGCTTTATGTGCTCCATCCCATCCTCGCTCTCAGCCTGTGTAGCTGGACATAATATGTTGCAATCCCTGAGCATAATAAGCAACCTTACTTTCCTAAATCTTTTCTTAATTCAAAACAACCTGCATTTTCATTTTCTATAACCTTGGTAAGAAAATCTGAGCTATCCAAATTGGCCCAGTCTGAAATCAATTGTTTCACAAGCAAAGAATACTGTGGCAACATATTACCAAGGTATGACTGTATTTTAAAGATATCTATATCATCTCCAGACATCAAACCTGCCTCATCCTTCCAACACTTGTAAAATTTCTTTACAAAAATCATATTACCAATCTCTTCCTTTGCATCTTGCTTATATGCCAAAGCAGTGAATATAGACTACCTATTCTTCCATAATCCCAACATTTCAGCTTCCACCTTGTTCCAGATTTTAGCACATCATACTGAAGTACTAAGCTCATAATCACCAATTCATTTCAAACCATATAACTCATACTCAGCATCCAATGTAATATTACACGTCATCTCACAAAGCAATATCTTTGTAGAAACACATAATGGGTACCCAGCAGATATGCCAATACAGAAATCACATTTATGGGCACACAACTACACACTCTGTCTCCCTCCTAGGAAACACAGATAGACACAATATAAAAGCAATCTTAAACTAACACCTCCAAATCTCCAACTATTCTTGGCCAAAACGCTAGTATTCAACAACTAATAAAACAGTTATTTGCTAGGTTATTTGGCTGTCATTCTTATCAGTATCACTAGACTGTGACAAACTGATTCACATATAATTTAAAACAATACAGCAACATAAATTAAACCACTTTCAAGTTAAACTGCACACTTATCACACATTATCACAATCACCATTTACACAAAATAAAGAGTTAACAGCTGTATTCAGAACATATTATTGGAAAGTATACCAATTTTAGTTTAGATTTATTTTAGGGATTCTTATGTATACATTTTCTTAATTAACTTCATTACTTTAATCTAGTATAGTATTGTATTTAAAGAAAGGATCCATTTATATAGCGCGCTCATAACTCAACTATTTGTATAAAACTACCATTAACTAATCTGAGATGATGCTGCATCAACTTAAATCTTACAGAAATTGAACAAACATCTGGACCAGATTAAACAGACATGGTTTCACCAGAATCTTTCAGAACTCTTAGAGACTTAAAAAATTTATACTATACCATGTTTTAAAGGCATGGCAAACCTTTAGACCGGTCAGTCTCCAAGAGCCCTTAGTAACACAGGTAAAAACCTTTTGTCCATGATGTCTGATTCAGGCTATATACCACAATTTAAAATAACACATAATGTGAGACATAGAAGACACAAGCAGTAGTTATTACACTGGATCATTTAAAAGGAACCTGTTGCAATAAAAGGTTAGTTTACAGTGCAAAATAAAGCATGTGTTGGACCGCTGAAAATGTAAATGTTGCTCTGTTATTTTCAAACATAAAATTATATTTACAGTATGGATCTTTTGCAACAAACACACAGGGCAGGGAAGATATGCTGATTGGTGTTTCTATACAATTAATCCCATATGGGGAATTAACTTTCAAATACTAATGAAGTGACTTTTTGTCTCAGTTATAAAATATACTGAGCTCATCATGCAAACAATGCAACACATTTACACTATCCCACTCTCATAATAAATGTAGTGGGCTTATAGTATTTTTAAAGCAACAATCATTCCAGGCACACAGTTCCCATGTGAAATAACTTACAATAAAACAGAGTAATAAACTTATACTTCTATGCGACAGAAAGAATAAAGCAAAAAGATTTAAGTAGGTCTATCAGGTACAACCTATGAGTCATTTCTTTTCTAATATACAGTACTGCTATCTTGCAGAAAGATAAGTCCTGCGCTCACTCCCATCACTACTGGACAGCAGCAAGGACTACAGTACACATCAGCCCCAATATATGGTAAAAACCAAAGAAAAACAAGTTACCTGCGTTCTCTCCTTAATCCCTATGTATTTTTAAAACCTCCATTTTGTTTAAAAGTACTGCTATCTTATATATACACATATACATATACACACACATATATACATACATATACACATATATACATACACACACATATACATGTACATATATTGGTCACTCAGGACATGAACTCACATTTCCCATACTGCTGATTCAGAGTGGGGACACTACTAACTTACCAAAGTGTGTCCCCAATATAGACAATCAATCACCCACAAAAAACACTTAAGACAAACAAAGGTGACCGGGAGAAAGAGAAGTTTGGGTTATACTTAAAGATCTACAAACCGTGCTGCTCAGAACACCTATAGACTTAATAAACCAGAGACCTCTTATGGTCTCAAAAACCTGTATCTACCTGAGATACCCTGTATCTATCTTAGATACTAACCTGGGTTACCAAAACCCTATAATAAGCCGGAGACCTCTTATGGTCTCAAAAACCTGTATCTATCTTAGATACTAACCTGGGTTACCAAGAACCCCTATATATATTTAGACCAAATGTCTAATAAACCGGAGACCTCTTATAGTCTCAATATAACTAGAGTCCTTACACCTTTCCTATCTACTGGATACAGACTTACTGAACCAAAGGGGGGTCATAGACAATCAGCGTCAAATAAGACACAAAAAGGCTACTCACCGCAAATGGTTTTGCTGATCCAACTTCTATCCCTCTTCTAGACACCAAGCTGAAAGGGTTAATGTTGTAATGGACTCTAATCCCCTCGGTTCTCGATCCCTCGGTCACCATAATCAACGTTGATGGAGAATCATTTGTAAGCAATAACACACGGACAACAGCTTTACAAGACTCTCAAATGAGTGTATTCCAGAGCTGGCTTTTATACATAGTTTGCTTACATTAGCCATGGTATATGCAAATACAGTACAGACTATAAGATTTATTACTTCCTTATATTACATTATTCTGACAATGGAAAGATAAGCTTTTGCATACGTCTGGAAAAGAATATCCTTAAAATCGGAATGGGCAAGACATCCTGAAATTTTAGCATTGTCTTACATCCTATAGAAGAAATACCTTAGTCTGTCACAGTCAGCATATTATGTCGTTTAAGTATTCAATATTCCTTCAGTCAGCAATAATCATGTTATAAACCTTATAAAAGCATAAAATACATATAAACAAGTTAACTATTTAATATTCTTACAGTATACAGGGCTCACAGTATACAGACATTGCACTGTGTATACAGGGCTCACAGTATACAGACATTGCAGGGTGTATAGAGAGCTCACAGTATACAGACATTGCAGTGTTTATACAGAGCTCACAGTATACAGACATTGCAGGGTGTATACAGAGCTCACAGTATACAGACATTGCAGTGTGTATAGAGAGCTCACAGTATACAGACATTGCCGTGTGTATACAGAGCTCACAGTATACAGACATTGCACTGTGTATACAGGGCTCACAGTATACAGACATTGCAGGGTGTATAGAGAGCTCACAGTATACAGACATTGCAGTGTTTATACAGAGCTCACAGTATACAGACATTGCAGGGTGTATAGAGAGCTCACAGTATACAGATATTGCAGTGTGTATAGAGAGCTCACAGTATACAGATATCCCCTGGACTGCAAGGAAGGAGAGGCATGACTGCTGCCCTGCAGTAAGGGGTGGGAATATAAAAGATACAATGTTGCCTATATAGTGGGATATAAGAGGGAGAGCAGGGGGGTGGGACTCACCAGTGCAGAAGGAGCAGTCTGGAACAGTTTCCCGCCCGCCCTCTCCAAAACATTTCCCATGCTATGTGATGGTTTGGCTTGTGGTGTTGTTTGTTTCTGTTCTTGTTTTGTCACAGCTATGGCGGAGTTCCTGGCCAGCGCACGTAATGCACGGAAAGGATTTGGGGAGTCGCAGCCTGCTAGGGCTGATGGCCGAAGGCAGGCTGTACGAACTCTGGATAAAGACTTGGAGTATCTGTCTGTTGGGTAGTCACCACAACAGCTGACAGGTGGAAATGCTGGCTGTGTAAAAGTTTAATAAAGCTGTGGCCGTTGCCCTTACCCAACAATCAGGTGTCATGTCGTTATTGGGGGTAACGGTTTTGGTATTTGGGGTCAGCAGTCAAGAGATTCTGCATTCTAGGAACGGTGAGCTTGGCATGCATCAAGGCATGCTAGCCAAGCTTGTCAGGTCGACACGCTTAATCTTCGAGTAGGACTGTTCCGTCATGTCCAGATCCATTCCCTTTGGGTAGCACCAGTGACTGTCTCATTCCCTTTAAGCCAACCCGTGTCTCTCTTCACGGGACGCCATAGAGTTAATTGGTTTGTGTACAGCAAGTGCAGTAGAAATACAGTGTATGTATATTGTATTTATATATATATATATATATATATATATATATATATATATATATATATAACAATAACAGGTGTACTCAGTGCTTTACAGGTTACATTACAGTAGAGGGAGGTATAGTAAGTGCAGTAGGTATACAGTGTATGTATATTTTATTTATATAGCACTTTACAGGTTATATTACAGTAGAGGGAGGTATAGTATGTGCAGTGTGCATACAGTGTATGTATATTTTATTTATATAGTACTTTACAGGTTACATTACAGTAGAGGGAGGTACAGTAAGTGCAGTAGGTATACAGTGTATGTATATTTTATTTATATAGCACTTTGCAGGTTACATTACAGTAGAGGGAGGTATAGTAAATGCAGTGTGCATACAGTGTATGTATATTTTATTTATATAGTACTTTACAGGTTACATTACAGTAGAGGGAGGTACAGTAAGTGCAGTAGGTATACAGTGTATGTATATTTTATTTATATAGCACTTTGCAGGTTACATTACAGTAGAGGGAGGTATAGTAAATGCAGTGTGCATACAGTGTATGTATATTTTATTTATATAGTACTTTACAGGTTACATTACAGTAGAGGGAGGTACAATAAGTGCAGTAGGTATACAGTGTATGTATATTTTATCCATAGCGCTAACAGGTGTACTCAGCACTTTACAGGTTACATTACAGTATAGGGAGGTATAGTAAGTGCAGTAGGTATACAGTGTATGTATCTTTTATTTATATAGCGCTAACAGGTGTACTCAGCACTTTACAGGTTATATTACAGTATAGGAAGGTATAGTAAGTGCAGTGGGTATACAGTGTATGTATAGTTTATTTATATAGTGTTTACAGGTTAGATTGCAGTAGAGGGAGGTGCAGTAGGAATACAGTATATTTATAATTTATTTATTTATCGCTTAAAGGAGTAAGATGCAATATGTAAGTTTAACTGTCTCCTTAATCACTATAAAACAATGTGAAGGAGGTAAACAGATACTGGGAGGGAACCTCACACTGTGTCTATGTGTCATTTATACTACATTGCAGAATGAAGCCCATGGAACAGCAAGCTAGGTGGAATGGGCCATGACAGAGCTAGGAGGCAGGCCTATGAATGAGGTGTGGTTTGATTGGTGGAGGTCAGTTAGGGGAGTGGCCTAAGTAGCCCATATAAAAATCGTCCATTTTAATTCAGTTTCCATTTTAATTTTAAATCCCTTACCTGTTGGTAGCTGTCCCGCCCACCCTCCCTAATTTCAGTATGTTGATGGCCAAGCGGTATGGCTCCTCCGTTTTGTCACGGCGGCGGGGGATGGATTAGGTTAATTGGGGGGTAGGTCGGTTTTTGGTAAGTGGGATAGGTCAGGAGGAATACTTACCTTTGGATTTGGTGGTAGGTTCGAGCTCGTCGGTAGCTCTGAACCTGGGGGTGTAGGGGTGTCTCGGTATGCCCCTACAGTGGAAAGGGATGCCCTTGGTGGCTGTGATAATGGCGTAGGGTTGTCTTGCTTTGCCCCTACAATTGGAAATGGATGCCCTGGGTGGCTATGTTAATGTTTATGTTATTTATACTATGTTATATGGTTATATGGATGTATTCTGTAAAATGGTTTAGGTCATTGTCTTGGTGTATAGTTATGTTAATTGGGGGGATGTCTTCCTAATCGTTGTTGACAATGACCTTTTAAATTTATATTTTATTATTTATATATTTAATAAAGCCGTGGAATATTTTGCCAAAATTCATGTGTCTGTAATTCTTGAAGGTCTCTAATTGGTTTATAACAGGAATAGGCCAAAAGGACGATGATGCGCATGTCATATGTTGTTATATCACACAGAACACAAACTGCATAGTAAATATGACTCTGGCAATGTTATTATTAGACAGTGCATTGTGACTATTGAACAGTCAGAATGTTGGAAAGAATCCAGTAATGACTCTCCAGGGTTTTAGCTACCATGTTATGGAATGCTATGAAACAGTAAATAAACTTACTGGGGCCTATTAGACATCTGCGATAAAACATGATCTATACCCATATGTATACCAATAAGCTGCTGTATATAAGCAATTATAGATTTAAAAAAACAGTCACACAAGGCGTGGTGATTTAATAAAGAATAAAATGTAGTCCTAAATGGGAGCTAAAGTCACCCGGACCACTTCATCTCAGTAAGTGTCCTAGATGCAGTGGTCCTGTCCTTTCAGTTGTTTTTTTTATTTTTAGAAACTGCAATGTTTATATTACTTTTTAAATCCACCTCTAATGGTGATCTTCCTGAAAGTCACCAGTGGAACTTCACGTCTGGTGATCCGAGAATACAACACTTTCCTAGGGGGAAACTTGTTTGCGCGCACGCATCAGCTCTCCAGTGGTCCTCTATAAAGGGCCTGAGATTAGGCCCTGGGGAGATAGCGCAGCTAAGCGGACAAGGGCACATGTAGGAGTGTGGGGATAGATGCGGTGGAGTGGTTAAGAGAGTATGTGTAGGTGGAATTAAGTTTAATGTAGTTAGTGGGGGGAGTGGCCTTACCTCAGTGCCACTTGGGAACCGGGCCAGCAGACAGCTTTCCGCCCGCCCACCCCTTTTTTGGTAGTTAGTCGCAGCTAGCCGAGGATATGTCCTTGCCAATTAAGTTTGTGGGGTTATGTTTTTATGGTTGGAGTGAGTTAATAAGTTGGCAAGTCTCAACCGCCTCTGCTTTAAACGGTTAACTTTAGGTTGCCCGAGGTATCGTGCCCATTGAGCGTGGATAAGGTCGGCTGATGGCGGGCATTGGAATGGTATGATTTATGACGAGGGGGGAGGTGAGAGGAAGTAGTGATTAGGAACCACGGTATGTTTATTGGCAAGGACGTTTGGGTTACTGTATAACACTGTGTGTTGTTATATATGTATATATGTTAATTTATGTTTATTTATGTTTAAAGGGACACTATAGTCACCTGAACAACTTTAGCTTAATGAAGCAGTTTTGGTGTATAGAACATGCCCCTGCAGACTCACTGCTCAATCCTCCGCCATTTAGGAGTTAAATCCCTTTGTTTATGAACCCTAGT